TCCGGATCGCGCGCGACGCGCGCGCGACGTCTTCGCGCTCGCGCATCCGGGCGGAGGCTCCGGCTCGATGCCGTTTCTTCCCGCGATTCGCGCGCCCATGTTCGCGCGCGCCGCGGAGTGCGCCGGGGATGCGGAACACGAAGGGTCACGCCGATGGAGGCAGGGAGCGAGCGCATCAAGCGGCGCGCCTCACCGCGAACGCCCCGCCCCGTCTTTTACCCTAGGGCATTGGTCGCGAGACAACGCCGCACTCCACGCCGCGCGCGACATGTTCGGCGTCGCCGCGATGCGATCGTCCGCGCTGCTCGCGCGACGCGGGTTCGCCCTCGGCGCGTCGCGCGTCCGCTCGACGCGCGCGTCGCCCGCGCGCCGCGTCGTCGTCCCGATCGCGCGCGCGTCGTCGTCGTCGTCGTCCGGCGTTGGCGGACGACATCGTCCGCGCGGCGACGTCGTCACCGCGTCGTCCTCCCCGTCGTCGTCGCCGTCGCCGTCGTCGCCGCTGTACGACTGCGAGTGCTGCCCCCCCGGGGTGCTCTTCCGCCTGCCGAGCGCGACGCGGCGCGCGTCGTCGTCGTCGTCGTCGTCGTCGTCGTCCGTCGCGACGCGCTCCGCGTCGTCCGCGCGCCCGCGAATCATGGCCTCGAGCGTCCCCTCGGAGATCCCCGCGATCGCGACGGAGCTCGTGGACTACCTCAACGCGTCGTGGACGTCCTTCCACGCGACGTCGGAGTCGTCGCGGATGCTCGCCGCGGCCGGGTTCGAGCGCCTGAGCGAGAAGGAGTCGTGGGATCTGAAGCCCGGGGGCAAATATTTCTTCACGAGAAACATGAGCTCGATCGTCGCGTTCGCCGTCGGGGAAAAGTACGCGCCCGGGAACGGGTTCAACATCATCGGCGCGCACACGGACTCGCCGTGCCCGAAGCTGAAGCCGGTCAGCGCGATCAAGAAGGGCGGGTTCTTGAGCGTCGGCGTGCAGACGTACGGCGGCGGGCTGTGGCACACGTGGTTCGACCGCGACCTGAGCGTGGGCGGGAAGGTTCTGCTTCGTCGCGCGTCCGCGAAGGGCCGGCTGAGTCACGAGCTCGTGCGCGTGGACCGGCCGATCATTCGCATCCCGACGCTCGCGATCCACCTCGACCGGAACGTGAACACGGAGGGGTTCAAGCCCAACACGGAGACGCAGTTCGCGCCCGTGCTCGCGACCGCGATTCGCGGCGAGCTCGAGCAGGAGACGGCGGTGGCGAAGGACGCGGCGGCGGATGGGGACGACGACGCGAAATTGAAGAAGAAGAAGAAGAAGAAGAAACCCGCGCACCACCCGCTGCTCCTCGCCGTCCTCGCGGAGGAACTGAACTGCGACCCGGACGAGATCGTGGACTTCGAGCTCGAGGTGTGCGACACGCAGCCGTCCGTCATCGGCGGCGCGGCGAGGGAGTTCATATACTCGGGAAGGTTGGATAACCTCGCGTCGTCGTTCTGCGCGTTGAAGGCGCTGTTGCACGCGGGCGGCGGCGACGGCGACCTCGAGAACGAGACCGGCGTGCGCATGATCGCGCTGTTCGACAACGAGGAAGTCGGCTCCGACTCCACCGCGGGCGCGGGCGGTACCATGGTCGCGGACACGGTGAATCGAACCGCGCGCGCGCTGTGCGGCGGCGCCGACGCAGCCGAGGGACTCGTCGAGCGCACGCTTCGCCGGTCGTTCCTCGTCAGCGCGGACATGGCGCACGCGCTGCATCCCAACTACATGGATAAGCACGAGAGTAATCACTCGCCGAAGATGCACGCGGGCGTCGTCGTGAAGCACAACGCGAACCAGCGGTACGCGACGACGGCGACGACGGCGACGTTGTTCCGCGAGTGCGCGGCGAAGGAGGGGATCCCGACGCAGGACTTCGTCGTTCGAAACGACATGGGGTGCGGCAGCACGATCGGGCCGATCCTGAGCACGAACCTCGGCGTGCGGACCGTGGACGTCGGCGTCCCGCAGCTGTCGATGCACAGCGTCAGGGAGATGTGCGGCACGGAGGACATCGACGTGTGTTTCCGACACTTCCGCGCGTTTTTCGATCACTTCGCGGAGATCGACGCGAACGCCGACGACGGCGATTGACGATTCTTAATACTACTGTACGATACGTTGTTACCATCATCCTAATAAGCGCACGTGCATATGATAGTAGGCCCTAATTACGCTAACTCAGCTTCTTCGCGATCGCGCGCGCCCAGCTCCTCTGCTTCTTCGAGAACGCCCTCGGCTCGTCCGACGCCAGAAGGAGGTTCCTCGCGACGAACACCGACTCCGCGCCCGGCGGCATCCACCCCCACTCGTTCGCGCCGACGCGATCGATCGCGCCTCGATCCGCGAGGTACACCTCCTCCTCGCCGCCGTCGGGCACGCACCCCGACGCGCGAATCGTCCGCGTCAGGTCCGCGACGACGGCGCTCGACGGCCCCGGCGGCGCGACGCCCGTGGACGGCAGCCTGACGGACCCTCGCGCGCATCGCACGCGCCCGTCCGCGTCCAGCACGATCACCCCGCGCGCGTTCGTCTGCGTCAGCAGCGCGTACGTCCCCCACGCGATGTCCGCCTTGGCGGCGTCGTCCACGTCGTCCGCGAACGCGAAGACTTGCTCCGCGCCCGGGACGTCGAGCGCGCCGCCGCGGACGCCCGCGCTCGCCTCGTCGATTCGGCGACCGAAGTACGGCGTCGCGACGCACGCGGCGGAGAGCGCGGCGCCGACGAGCTCCGTTCGCGCCTGCGCGTCGGACGGGTTGGACGACGCGAGGTGGTTCGCGACGAGGAGCCCCGCGCCGAGGAGGCCGACGACGCGCGGGATGTCCGCGTCGTCGAACCCCGGGATCCCGAGCGTGAAGCGGAACACCGCGAAGTCGTCGTCCTGCGCCGCCGCGCGCGCGCCGCGCGGGGGGAAGGCGCGGCGGGGGCGATGGACGGGGGCGCGCGCGTCGTCGCGGAGACGGCGCGCGCGCCGCGACGTGAGCCGCGGAGCCGCGACGGACGCGGTCGCGGCGCTCATCGCGAGTGACGACGACGCGGCGCGCTGACGTGAGCCGCTTCGCTTGCCGTCGATTATTTATTTATTTATTTTCCGAGCTGACCCATAAGTCGAAGTCAAGCCTCGAAAATGGGAATATATACGGAGCGGGTTCTAAGAGGGTATCTTCCGTTCATACCACCGTGAGAACAGCGATACCCATCGGAACATCGAACTTAAGCACGGTTGGGCTGGATTAGTACTAGGCTGAGGAATCGCCCGGGAATCCCCAGTGACGGAAGGTTTTTGCTGTTTTTTTCGCTTTCAATCGCGCCGATGAATTTTTTTTTGAAAGCGACCGCGAGCGTTTCGCCTTCAACGACAAATCTCGCGCGCGCGCGCCCCGACGCTCTCGATGCCTCCCCGATGACCCCCCCCGCGGCGAGGTCGCCGTATCGATCCGCGCTCGTCGTCGCGCTCCTCGCGTGCGTCGTCGCGCTCGTCCTCGACGTCCCGTCGCTCGTGCGTCTCTCGTCCGACCGCGACGACGCGCGCGCGCCGAGCCACGCGCGCGCGGGGGCGAGATTTATCACCCCGACGTCGTGCGCGCACGCGGTATCGCTCGGCCGCCGCTGGCGCCAGGAAGACGCCGCGCGATGCGCGGTGATGACGCCGCCGCCGCCGCCGTCGTCGTCGTCGCGCGACGACGCTCCATCGCTGCGGTTCGCCGCGGTGTACGACGGCCACGACGGCGCGGACGCGTCCGAGCTCGCGAGAGCGACGCTCCACGAGCGCGTCGACGCGAAGCTCCGCGAGGCGACGGCGGCGACGGCGACGCGACGACGCCGCGGCGGCGGCGTCGAGCTCACGGACGAGATCGTCGAGCGCGCGATGCGCGAGGCGATAACGGAACTCGACGAAGCGTTTCTCGCGACGCGCGCCCCCGGCGGAACGACCGTCGTCGCCGCGTTGATGCGCGGCCGCGACGTCTGGATCGCGCACGTGGGTGACTCGCGCGCGTTCGCGTGCTCGCCCCGTCGCGACCGCGGCCTCACCTCCGCCGCCGCCGCGTCGCCGCCGCCGCCCTCTCCCTCGCGCCGCGCGCCGCCGTTCGCGGCCGCGCGGCTGACGCGCGACCACGCGCCGGACGACCCGGCCGAGCGCGCGCGGATCGAACGCGCGGGCGGCGGCGTCGTCGTCGCCGGCGGGACGCCGCGCGTCAACGGCGAGCTCGCGGTGAGGTGCGTTCTATACACTGGCCCCCATACGACCGCGTTGGCGTGGTGAACGCCGATCCTTAAGGACTTTTGCCGGCGCATCTCTCCGCTCATCCCTCGCTTTCAACGCCCGCCCTCGGCGCCTTTCAACTCCACCTGACGCCTTTGAACTCCACTCCGACATTCGCTCGTATGGAACGACCCTGAGCCGCGCGGTGGGCGACGGCGCGCTGCGGCGGTACGGCGTCGTCGCGAACGCGACCGTGTCTTCGCGCGTGTCGCTCGGGGAGGACGACGCGATCGTGCTCGTGTCCGACGGCGTATCCGACGTGCTCGCCGGCGACGAGGCGTGTTCGCTCGCGCTCGGCGGCGGCGACGGGGAGGCGGAGGAGAACCACGCGCGTCGATGGACGCTGCGCGACCTCGAGGCGTGGCGCGGCGCGCGCACGGAGACGGCCGCGGGAGGCGATATCATCGCGCTGGGCGGGACCGCCGCGGGGCGGCTGCCCGGGGAGGAACGCGACGGCGACGACGACGCGTCCGGCGGCGGCGGCGGCGGCGGCGGCGGCGACGACGCGTCCGCGGCGTGGCGAACGCCCACGGAGGTCGGCGTCCTCGCGCGGCTGAGGCTCGGCGCCGCGACGGCGGCGCGCGCGGCGATGCTGATGAACAGCGGCGATAACGTCGCGGTGCTCGTGATGACGGCGAAGGAGCCGCCGCCGCCTTTGGACGTCGCGCCGCCCACGCCGCCGCCGCCGCCGCCGGCGGCCGCGGCGGAAGTTGAAACGTCGACCGCCGCGGCGGACGACGAGCGCGCGCTCGTCGCGCTCGACGCCGCGCTCCGCGTGCGCGTCGGCACGACGCTCGCGCCGCGGACGTGCGACGTCGCGACGACCGGCCAAGACGCGGAGGACGGCGGCGGCGGGACGGGGACGTGCGTCGCGTTCAACCTCCGCCGCGTCGTCGCGTTGACGTCCGGGCCGTACCCGTCGTCGTCCGTCGCTCACGCGGACGACGTCGACGTCGCGCGGGGGGAGGACGAGCTCGAACTCGGAGACGGGACCGAGGAGAGCGGCGGCGGCGGCGGCGGCGGCGGGTGGGACGAGCTCGACGGCCTGACCGCGGGCTCCGCGCTCAAGTTCTTCTCGAGGGTGCCAGCGAACGCGTTGACGCCCGGCGACGGCGGCGGCGGCGGCGGGGAGCGCCGCGCGACGAAGCCGACGACGAGCGTCCCGGGGAAGGAAGTCGCCGTCGTCGCGCGGTTCTTGGAGACCCTCGGCGGCGTCCCGCTGCGTCGCGCGGGGGAGACGAGTCGCGCGCGCGGCGGCGGCGGCGGCGGCGGCGGCGGCGACGCGCGCGCGGGGGAGACGGGAGGGTATCGCGGCGCCGGGGGGCGGCCGTTCTCGCGCGGGCACTTCGGCGAGGTGTGGCGCGCGACAGCGGCGCGCGCGGCGGCGTCCGACGCCGAGACCGACGACGCGACCGACGACGCGACCGCGACGCGGTACGTCCTGAAGCGCATCCTCGTCGAGCGCGGGGAGGACGTCCGCCTGAGCGGCCGACGCGAGGCGCACTTTGGCGAGGCGATTCGAGCGGCGACGCGCTCCGCGGAGGGTCGAGCGCACCCCGGCGCGGGGCACGTCGCGCGGTACGAGTCCACGTTCGAGATCAGAGGCGGCGACGGCGGCGACGCGGCGGAGGACGAGCTCTGGCTCGTGTTCCGCGACGAGGGCGACGCGCTGTCGTCGCTGATGTACGCGGACGGCGACGACGACGACGACGACGGCGACGGCGACGACGACGAAAAAGTCTTCTCCGCGTCTTCTCTCCGCGTCGTGCGCCCATCGCGGTGGTGGCTCGACCGCCGCGCGTCGCCGCGCGGGCGCCGGCGGCTGCGCGAGCTCATCAGGCAGACGATCGCCGCGTGCGCGCTGACGCACGCGCTCGGCGTCGGGCATCGAGACGTGAAGCCGAGCAACTTGCTCGTGTCGTCGTCGTCCGGCGGCGGCGACGGATCCCCCGTCGACCGAGAGGAGACGCTTCGGCTCGCGGACTTTGGCTCCGCGGTCGACGCGCGGTCGCTCCGTGAGCTGTACGGCGACGACGGCCCCACCGCGGCGCAGCAGACGCCGGAGTACGCGCCGCCGGAGAGTCTGTTCGACGGCATCCCGCTGCATCACGGGACGTCGTCGTCGTCCGTGTCGACGACGGCGCTGGGGGCGGCGCGCCGGGGTCGCCGCGCCGCCGCCGCCTCCGGCCCGGGTGACCCGGACGCCGCGGACGACGTCGCGAACGACGTCGCGAAGGTCGCCGCGTACGACATGTGGTCCGTGGGGGTTCTGTCCCTCGAGGTTCTCGCGTTAGGGACGCCGAAGGTGTTCGCGTCCGTCGGCCGTCGCACGCGCTCGGAGGTGGAGCGTCGGCTCCGCGGCGCGAGCGCGGAGACGAAAGAGATCGCCGTGCGTCTCCGCGCGATGCTCGAACTGTGCGTGTTCCCACCCGAGCGCGGCGTCGCGGTGATGCTGTCCTGGGAGTGCACCGAGGACGCGCTGACGCGGACGATCGCGGCGCGCGACCCTCTCGGCTTGGGGTTGCCGAGCGCGTGGGCGCTGCGTCTGATTCGGCGGCTGCTGTCGTGGGATCCGGGCGACCGACCGAGCGCGGAGGAGGCGCTGACGCACGCGTTCTTTCGCGACGACGACAGCGGCGACGCGATCGGGCGGGGGTACGCGTGCGCGGAGACGGGCGCGGAGTTTGAGTTCAGGCGCGAGTGCGAGGAGCACTGCGGCCGCGCGTGCGATTGATTTGAAATGATTTTAGTTCAGTAGGGTTTTTTTACTTTGGTCATACATCAAATTTTAACGTTCGGTGTTCGTACAACAACAAAACGGGGGGCGCGACGACGATCGCTCGCCGCGCCGCCCTCCCTCTCCCTTCCCACGCTACGTCTATCCCGCTACAGACAGACAGCACTCAGCTCGGCTTCACGAACACGACGGTGACGTACTTGCTCCGGTACCGGTGCGTCGTCCCCATCACGTGTTGGCCGCGCTGTTGCTTAGTCCTGTCGTTGTACATGTGGTTTAGCACGACGTGCTGCGGCCGCGGGAGCAAGTTCGGCGCGTCCGGTATCTGCGGCATGTTCAGAAGCGTGAGGTGCAAGTGCGGCGGGCACGCCGGGGGCTCTTTCGCGAAGTCGTCCTGCGTGAACAGCGCGCAGTCGTAGCTCTCCGGCGGCGACGACGGCGCGAGGAACGAATCCAGCGAGTCCAAGATCTCCGGGACGTACTCCTGCACCTCCAACACGTTGTTCACGTTCCCCATCTCGTCGTACATCGCGGGTTGGTCCGGGGCGTACTTCCACTCGCCGTCGACGATGAACTTGTACTGGTACACCCCCGGCGGGAGCATCTTCACCACCGCGAACTCGCGGTTGCCGCTGCGATGCAGCGCCTGACGCGACTGCCAGTTATCGAACGACCCCTCCACCTCGACGACGGTGCCGCCTTGGTTCCAGTTGATCGCGACCGGGACGAGCGTGTTCGGCTCGCTCCAGCCGCCGGGGAGGTCCGGGATCCCGCGGCCGCTCGCGCCGGGGACCATCGGGATCTGCGGGCCGTACGACAGCGGCGTCGACGGCGCTTGGACGGGGATGTCCATCGCGGGCGAACCCCCGCCCGGGGTTCCGAGAACGCCGTCGGCGGAATGCGCGGCGGAGGACGGCGACGCCGCGGCGCCGCTGACGATGCGTCCGCGCGCTTGTTGGTTTCCCATCTCTGATGCGCTCGCGCGAGCGACGCGCGGGGTGGTCGGTGCGGTGACGTGCGCGGCGCGGGGTGCACTGGCGCGTCGCGAATGTGCGTTCGAACCTCGAATATTCCTTTTTGTAAAAGTAACATCGGAAATTTTGACTCAGAAACGAGGGTCTAAGAATTTCGGGACGAGACCTGGACGAGACCAGACCTTCCAGTCCGTTAAGTATTAGTCCGTGGCCTCAGTTAGTCAGTACTCGTACGTTTTCGGCGCGCGCCGCTTCGGGACTCGCGGCGGTTCGTCGTTCGTTCTCTCAACAGCTAGCTACCTATCCACCGCGAGCGACTTCGCGCGACGCTCTCACCGCTCGACCAGCACCTCGAAACGCGCCAGCTGGTCGAACACGCGCCCGCCGCGCGCGTCCCCGTCGCCGCGCGCCTCCGCGACGGATACGATCGGCAGTCGCCGCGTCCCCGGGAGCGTCGGCACGCACGTCAGCTCCACCCTGCGCTCGCCGCCGGGGGGCAACGCCCCGATCGCGATCCGCTGCGGGCCGTCCACGAGGATCCCGGCGACGCCGCCGCCGCCGCCGGTCGCGCCGCCGGTCGCGCCGGTCGCGCCGCCGCCGCCGCCCGTCGCGCCGCCGCCGACGACGTCCGAGTCTGGCTGCGCGATGACCTCCAACGCGCGCGTCGCGCTCGCCGTCTTGTTCGTCACGACGCACGATAACGTCAGCGGCGCGTGCACGCGCGCGGTCTTCGGCGGCGCGCCGTGGGCGAACGCGACCTCGACGTCTTTCCCGCCGATCCTCGGCGAGCCGACGATCTGCTGCGTCTGCAGTCGCCCGGCTTCGCCGTTGTGCCCGGTCCATCGAATCTCGAGCTTCCCTAACGTGTCGCTCGTGACCGTTATGTCCGGCCTCTGTCGAAGCTCGAACAGGAAGTGCGTCGACCCGCCCTGCGGCGACAGCACGCGCAGCGGGCGGTTCGCGAGCGACGGCAACCCCTCGCCGAGTCCCGACCCTCCCGCGGCGGCGGCGTCTCGGGCCCCTCCTCCGCCTCCTCCTCCGCCGCCTCCTCCTTCTTCTCCCCGATGCGGGTCCCCCTCTGGAATGACGACGCCCGCGCCGGAGACGCACGCCGGGACGATCTCGTCGCACTCCAAGTGCGCGCACGGCTCGAACGTCGCGCGGCTCAGCAGCAACGGCGCGGGCGTCGCGTTCTCGATGCACGCCTCGAGCAACGCGCGTCCGTCGCGTCCCGGTCGCACCTTGGTGCGCACCGCGAGAGGGTTCGCCGCGTTGAACTTGAAATACTGCGGCGCGTACTTCCGCTCGCCGTCCGCGTCCGTGTACACGACCCCGCACACGAGCGTGTGCGCGCCGAGCTCTTTTAGATCGTGCGTCGCGGTGAAGTCGAACGTCGCGCCCGGCGGCATCGTCGGCGCCGCCTCCGCGGCGTTGTCGAAGAGCGCGACGCGACGCCGCTCCGTCTGCAGCTCGGCTTTGAACGAGACGTCGCGCACGACGCGATCGCTCGAGTTGATCGCGGAGACGTACGCCGCGAACGTCTCGCCGAGGTAGACGTTGCCGAACGCTTGCGGGAGGCAGAGCGTGCCGGTGACGCCGGACGCGCGCGACGCGCGGAGGCCGAGATCGACGCGCGACTCGAACGCGACGTCCGACGACGTCGACGTCGACGGCGCGCACGGGGGATGGCCGAGGTCGTCGAGCGCGAACCGCGACGGCGTGTCGATCTTGAGCGTCGGCGCGCACGTGCGCATGACCTGCCGAGAGGGAGGGAGGGAGGCGGGGGCGGAGGGCGTCAGGCGCGGTCGTTCGAGGAGGGATCGGACGCTCGGATCGTCGCGGGCGCCGGGACGCGGACGACCGACGCACCCGGAACTGGATCGCCTGCGGGAGCGGCGCCGCCGCGCCGCCGACCGGCGTCGCCGCCGCGAGAGGCGCCGGCGTCGCCATCCGCGCGCGTCGACGACCACCGCGCGAGGCGAAGACTGACGATGAAGAGAGCGCGCGAGGGCGGTTCTGTTGTTGACGTGTCGCGTCATCACGGTGTTCACTCAGATCCATCCGCGCGGGCGCGATGAGCGCGACGCGGTACACGCGCGATGAGGTCGCGAAGCACAACACCGCGGAGTCGAACTGGATCATCATCGACGACAAGGTGTACGACGTCACCAAGTTCGCGCGGTTCCACCCGGGCGGGAAGGCGTTCGTCGACGCCAGCGCGGGGAGCGACGCGACGAAAAACTTCTACGCTTTCCATCGCCAAGACGTCCTCAAGTCCATGGCGTCGAAGTACCTCATCGGAACCCTCGTCGACGCGCCGAGCGCGAAGAAGGCGAGCGTGACGCTGAAGCCCGGCGAGCTCTCGAAGGTTCCGTACGCGGAGAGCGGCGCGTTTCAGGGGCTCCCGAGCTCGTTCTACGACGAGAGCCATCATCGATTCCGCGCGGACCTCCGAAAGTTTTTCGACGAGCGCGTCGTCCCGGACGCGGCCGCGAACGACGCGGCGGGGAAACCGCCCCCGCACGAGCTCTGGAAGGAGATGGGCAAGCGCGGGATGCTCGCGATGCGCATACAGAACGGCCCGTGGCTCGAAGACCTCGTGCAGAACTGCGGCGTCGTCCTCCCGGGAGGGATAACCCCGAAGCAGTTCGACTGCTTCCACGAGCTCATCGCGCACGAGGAGTTCTGCCGCCTCGGCGTGCCCGGATACTGCGACGGCCTGGGCGCCGGGTTCGTGATCGGCATTCCGCCGGTGCTGCAGTTCGGCAACCCGGAGCTCGCGCGCAAGGTGGGGAGGGAAGTCCTCCTCGGCGAGAAGCGCATCGCGCTGGCCATCTCCGGCCCGGAGGCGGGCTCGGACGTCGCGGGGCTGACGTGCGTCGCGAAGAAGGCGCGTCTCTGACTGGCCCCCATACGACCCCCGTTCGCGTGGTGAACGCCGATCCTTAAGGACTTTGCCCGGCGCATCTCTCCGCCCAGGGTCCCTCGCTTTCAATCCCCGACCGCGACGCCTTTCAACTCCGCTTCTGACGCCTTTCAACTCCACCCTCAGACGCCGTGCGGCAAGTTTTACGTCGTCAACGGCGTGAAAAAATGGATCACGAACGGGCACTTCGCGGACTACTTCGTCACCGCGGTCCGCACCGGCGGGCCCGGCGTCGGCGGCGTGTCGCTCCTCCTCGTCGAGCGCTCCGAAGGCCTCGAGACGAAGCCGATCAAGACGTCGTATTCGCCGTCCGCGGGTACCGCGTACGTCACCTACGACGACGTGAAGGTCCCCGCGGAGAACCTCCTGGGCGAGGAGAACGGCGGGTTCAAGTGCATCATGCATAACTTCAACCACGAGCGGTGGTACATCGTCGCGGGCGCGAACCGCGCGTCGAGGCTCGTCGTCGAGGAGTGTTACAAGTGGGCGAATCAACGCGTCGTGTTCGGAAACCCGCTGATCGCGCAACCCGTCATTCGAAACAAACTCGCGCGCATCACGAGCCTCGTGGAGGGCGTGCACGCGTGGCTGGAGGCGATCACGTACCAGATGCAGCACATGACGCACGCGGAGCAGGCGAACCACCTCGCCGGGCCGATCGCGCTTCTGAAGTTGTTTTGCACGCGGAGCGCCAACGTCGTGTCCGACGAGGCGTGCCAAATTTTCGGCGGACGCGCCATCACCCAAACCGGGATGGGGAAGGTCGTGGAGCAGTTCCAGCGCAGCGCGAAGTTCGCGGCGATCTTGGGCGGGAGCGAGGAGATCATGGCGGAGCTGGGGGTGAAGCAAGCGATGCGGGGGTTTCCCAACGCGCGGCTGTGATGCGGAGAGAGGAGGGGTCGCGCGCGAGCGCAGATGTATTTTTGCCGGGTAGACTGTAGTCAAGTAATCACCGAAACGACGTTCTGTTCGATCTCTCTTGGAAGAGTCCCCCGTCGTCGCGCCCCATTCGGCGCGCGCGTCACCGCACGCGAACGCCTTTCGCCATGGTGTTCGGCCTCTTCAAGAAGAAGAAGACTCCCGCGGAGATGCTGCGGTGCGCGTCTCGCCGTGCTCTTCGCGCGCGCGCGCGACGCGTCTTTCCGCCACCTGTTCCTTTTCGTCGTCGTCTTCGCCGTTGGTGACATCTATCTTTTCTCGGCCTCCCCGACGTCCGTCCGCGCCGCGCAGGGAGAACAAGCGGATGCTGGACAAGTCCATCCGCGAGCTCGACCGCGAGAGGAACAACCTCCAGTCGCAAGAGAAGAAGCTCATCGCGGAGATCAAGAAGATGGCGAAGCAGAACCAGATGGGCGCGGTCAAGGCGCGTCTCGTCGTCGTCCCGCGCTTCGGGGGAAAAGAAAGTCCGCCGACTCCGCGCGTCGTCGCGTCGCGTCGTCGCGTCGTCTCACCGTCCGTCTCTCCTCCCCCTCTCTCGTCCGCTCGTTCGCTCCCTCCTCTCAGGTGATGGCGAAAGACCTCGTGCGGACGCGGCACTCGATCACGAAGTTCTACGGTCTGAAATCCCAGCTCCAGGGCGTGTCGCTTCGAATGCAGACGCTCAAGTCCACGCAAGCGATGGCTGACGCCATGCGCGGCGTCACGCGCGCCATGGCGTCCATGAACAAGCAGCTCAACCTCCCGTCCTTAAACAACATCATGCGCGAGTTCGAGCGGCAGAACGAAAAGATGGAGAGCACGACGGAGGTCATGGGCGACGCGATCGACGACGCCATGGCCGCGGACGGGGAGGAGGAGGAGTCCGAGGAGCTCGTGAATCAGGTGCTAAACGAGCTCGGGTGCGGGCTGGACGCGAGCTTGTCTCCGCGCCGAC